GGAAGATTCCTTTCTCTGCCTCTCCTTCTCTCTGTAAATCTACCTTTTAAATAAAAATCACTTTCAAAAAAAGGAATGGAAGATAAAATATGATACTTGATTAATCCAAATAAAAGCAGGCAAAGGAGACCATACGGGCAGCAGCAGGATGGTGGGACTTAATTATATTAATATGTACCGTTGCTCTGTATCCATGGGGGGTAAGTTTCAGAACTCCAACCGCAAGAACAGCGAGCTCTGCGGATGCCCCAGGTCCTTGTATACATGTTGTAACGCACCTCTGTGCTCCTTTACCACCCTCTCTAGGTTCCTTGTAATACAATTTACTAGCGCAGTTTAAGTGCTGTGTAAATATTTGTTGTGGGATAGTGACAAGAACAAATATCAATACATGCCCAGGAACTTCGCAAATTGTTTTCAGACCTTTTCGATCTGACTGGTTGAGGCTCTGGGAGGGTCAAGTACGCATTACATTAATAATCATAAATCAGAAAACCCAAAATAGGAATTGAATTAGCAACTATATTAGCAAGTACGGTATTTTACATAGAATATTCCAATTAAATGACAAAGATCATCAGACTAATGAAAAATAAGAGTCATTGGGCCCAGTGGCGTGGCTTAGCGGTTAAAGTCCTCACCTTGAACGCACCGGGATCCCATATGGGCGCCGGTTCTAATCCCAGCAGCTCCACTTCCCATCCAGCTCCCTGCTTGTGGCCTGGGAAAGCAGTGGAGGACAGCCCAAGGTTTTGGGACCCTGCACCTGTGTGGGATACCCGGAAGAAGTTCCTGGCTCCTGGCTTCGGATCGGCGCAGCACTGGCTGTTGTGCTCACTTGGGGAGTGAATCATCAGATGAAAGATCGTCCTCTCTGTCTCTCCTCCTCTCTGTATCTCTGACTTTTCAATAAATAAATAAATAAATAAGAGACATTTAAAATGTAAGACACTAAAAAAAATAAAATGAAATGTAAAACACTAACAGATTGAAAGGGGAAAGAAGATATTATTTAACAATTTCTGGTGGGAGTGGGTTGAGAGAATTTAGAAAAACAGAAGCAATTCAGTGTTGTGCTAGAAATGGGAACAGAGCAATTTAACTCTAACTAGAAAGGATGCAAGACCGAGAAAGGTCCATCGGAGATGTCAGGAAAGGTGGTGGGAATAGGAGCTTGGACACAGAGTTTAGTGCGTGTGGGAGTAGGAAAAACAGCAACAGCTCTCACTGCCTGCAGAACGCAGGCAAAGGGCAGTGGGGCTGCAACAGACAAGCTCTAAATGAGTGATCTTGGGAAATGGGAATAACTGGGAGAACATAGTAGGGAACTTGTGGATGTTAACCTGAGAAATGTCATCAGTTAGAACTGAGCCGAGTCTGCACAGTTCTGATGTTCAGACTATCCCAGGCAAGTGTCACGGGAGACCGGAAGGCCAGGGGCAGGCTGTTCAGAGGCAAGAAGTGGTCGAGTCGGCTTGTGAAATCTAACCCAGACGAGAAGGGAAATAAGACTGAAAGAGGAGATGGTTAGTGAAGGTCAGGATTGCAGGAGTGGTCAGAGAGAGATCCGTGGAAAACAGGAAATTTGAAATCAGACATTTGCCTGTGGTTGGTCACTGCTCACAGCACCTGAGGTAGGACCTTAGAGTGATTGTTGACAAAAGGAAGCTGCAGCTAAGCTTTGAGAAACTGGCCGTGAAGTCATCTGTGTGGAGGAGAAAGAGCCAGGAATGATGAGGAAGACGCATGGAGGATCCAGGTGCTGAACTCATCAATGACTAACAGGAGTGACCAGAAAGACAACAGAAACGACAGGCAGCGGTGAGAAAATCCGAGCACAGGCCTCTACAGAAAACAAGTGTGGACAGATATTCTATCAGTAACTCATGAAGGTGAATGTGGAAGCAGCCCACTACACTTTGGCTTGGGGAGCTACTGTGCCCGAAAATGATTTCCAAGATTTTCCCCAGCAGATTGGTTCATGCTGAAGGCGTTTACAGCCGAATGGGCAAAGAGACGACCCTGTTGGAAAAGGAAGCGCCTTTGTGTGTGTCACGCCAACAGAGACATCTTCAGTGCAAACCACTGAAGATATGTTCATTTCCGAGGAACATGACGAGCTTGGCTTTGAGTAATTTGTTTGCCTTTTTGTCAATTGCATGCCTTTAATCTGGGCTTGAAGATTGACGTGTTTATCTTATTATCCTCAAAAATATCTTAACACTGGAATGGAATTCGTTATTGAGAGCTGAAACACTGGCACCGTTTTATGACTTTTTCTCAAAGCTGTTTAGACTCACAAAGGTGAATTTTGTGTTCTACCAAATAGATGTGCACTTACAGTAATTTCTGACATGTCACAAAATGAAAATAGTTGGAAGTGTTTTTCGTGCCCACTTCCAAGAAAATAAAGGAAAAACTGGGTTGCCATGGTATCAGGCAGTAAAAGGTATTTTATTGAATCATACACAGATTTAGCAGCCTGGCATTGTCACCTTACACGTAAAAGGATGCCATAACGAAACGTGCGTAATGTTCTCTTCTGAAGAACTCCCACTTCTATTCAAACATAAAGGTAACTGAAAAGTTCATGGAAAATGAATTTAAGAGATGTTTTGGTGCAAAGAAAATATTTTTTTTTCAAAGCGATTTGTCTGGCATAAAAACAAGTGCGGATGGAGAGGCTAGTTCTTTAAAAAAATATTCATTTATTTATTTATTTTACTTTAAAAAGTTAAAGATTAAAGAAAGAGGTCTAGAGAGAGCTTCCATCCTGTTTCACTCCCCAAGTGGCCTCACCAGAATTGGGCCAATCCAAAGCCAGGAGCCGGACACTGCTTCCAATTGCCCACATGGGTGTAGAGGCCCAAGGACTTAGCCATTCATGATTTTGAAAGGCAGTGTTAGACAGAGAGAACTTCCATCTCCTGGTTCACTGCCCCAAATGACTTCAAAGGCCACAGCAGGGTTGACCTGAAGCTGGAAGCCAGGCCTTGGGCCATCCTTTGCTGCTTTCCCCGGCCATTAGCATCCTGCCGGATAGCAAGTAGGGCAGCCAGGACTAGAACCATTACTTGTGTGGGTGCCAGCAGTACAGGCTAAACATTAGCTTGCTATACCACCACACCTTGTCCAACAAGATATTATATTTTAAACCCACACATAAAGGGGTTTTCAACAAGTTGACAGAATACCTATAGTATGAAGATGCTGTGCACAGACTTCAAAAACGTTTTACACCAACACACTTTTCCTTTGCATTTTTATTCACTAACATGAAAGGCAGAGAGCGCGAGCTCTCCCATCTCATCCACTGCCCAAGCAGGGAGCCTGGGAGCCAACTATGGGGGCCGTCACCATGGCCTTCCACATGAGCAGGAAGCTGGAGTGAATCAAGAACTGTTTACTGTTAGCTAAATACCCACCTTCCCATAAACTTTTAAAAATATTCTTATAAAAAACAAATTAGCAACATTTCAGCATTGATATCTTTAATCCCCTCTTAGCAAAATGAAAAATATATCTGTTCATCAGGGAAGCTATTTTATAAGCCGTAACAGTTTATTTAGCAAGCGCTACAAATCGGTTGGAGAGTCCAGAGGCATTCTAGCAGTAATTACTGAATCTCAGTCACAGAAGATTCAAGCCATAATCTAGTTTACTACGCAGCATGTAACTAAGATGTGGTTTAACCAAGGGCTTACAATTTAGTCAGTCACCCAAACTGGAACCCATTAGGGAGCTATGAACTGCATTTTTGTAGACTTTTCCACTGGTGTTAAACTTCTGCATTTATTTTGTTTTAACGGGGTCCTTCTCAAGCGCTGGTGCTGTGGCTCGGTGGCCTGGGTACAGCGCGGTAAGCTGCCATTTAACGTGCACCGTCCTGCCGCGGCTCAGCTTGGGATCCAGCTCCCTGCTAATGTGCCTGGGGAACCAGATCTGCAGGTGATTGTGGCCTTTTACCCTTCAAATACATCTTTTTTTTTTTAAAGATTAATTTTATTAAACAGAAAGTCAGATATACAGGGAGGAGGAGAGACAGAGAGGAAGATCTTCCTTCAGTGGTTTCACTCCCCAAGTGAGCGCAACGGTCGATGCTATGCCAATTCAAGCCAGCAGCCAGGAGCCTCTTCTGGGTCTCCCACGTGGGTGCAGGGTCCCAAGGCCTTGGGCTGTCCTCCACTGCTTTCACAGGTCATAGCTGGATGGGAAGTGGAGCTGCCGGGATTAGAACCAACACCCATATGGGAGCCCGGCGCATGCAAAAAATACAACTTTAAAATAAACAAATAAGCCACCAGCTCACCAGGTAGAAAGCACGAAGCATTTATTTGCAGATTGAGCAAATGAGCAAGTTTTGTGCTAAGTATAACACAGTCCGTCACGTAGTACACTTTCTTTAACTCACAGAGTCCCGGGCCAGTTGTACATGACTGCTTGCACATACAATTTGTTAACCTAGGGACATCGTAACAGCAGATGGGGTGTCCACTCTAACAAGCCACTGAAGTGTTAGCTGGGAGGCCTTTAGTACTCCTGGGGTGGACAGAGGGCACTGGATCATCTCTCAGGTCTTTAGGAGAAAGGAGACAAAGTATCCTCAACTTATTAAAAATAGAGATTTAAAAAAAAGAAAAAAATCCGCCGGACTTCTTTGAATCATGGAATCTCAAAAGCCCCCCGGATGGCGAACGGCGAATCCCAGGTTTGAGGTGCGTTCATTTCCCAGGTGGCTTACTCCAAAGTTGGGTCGCTTTCACGACTTTGAGAAATCGGCCTCCCCCAACTCCTCTCGGCTGGCCGGCCTCCTCCGCTCTGGAGTCTTCCAGGCCCCGTTCCCACCTCCTCCTTGCGCCAGTCGGGACCACAGCAGCACGCGGGGCAGAGCCAGGCGGGCCGCTCCTCCTGCTCGCCGGCGCCCAGTCCAAGCTCGCGACGCCGGCGGCCCCAGGACCGGCCATCTCTCGGCCCCGAGGAGCGCGTCGTCCGGAGCCGAGATGCTGGGGACACTGGTGAGGCCGCTTCCTAAGGCATACAACGTTCCACACCCCGCGGAGGAGACGAGGCAGGAGATTCCCACGAGACGTCGGCTGCCCGGGCCGCCATCCCGGCCCCGCGCCCTCCCCGGGCCGGCGAGCCGAGGTGGCGGCCGGCGTGGGGAGGGAGGACGGGCGCACGACCGGGCTTGGGGACGCGAGTGTGCGGGCGGGCGCGGAGGGTTCCCTCGCCGGATGGCCAAGGCGGAGCAGGTCTGGCGCGTCCGGGCTGGGGACGAGCGGCGGGCCGGCGGCGTCACAGGCACTCGCAGCCCGCCGCGCAGCAGCCCGGCAGACACACGCACACGTGCACGCGCGCCCCGCACCCGCCCCCCGCGCCGGCCCCTGCTCGGGGCGGCGGCGGCGGCGGGGGTCGGGGGCGCGTGGGCCTGCGCCCCGCCGTGGCCCGGGGTCCCCGGGGGCGGCGGGCGGGCGGGGAGGGCGCTCGGGGGCCGGTCCGCGCGGCACCCATCCTCCGGGCGGGCCTCACGGTGCGCGCGCTGCGACGGGACGAGACGGCCCCGCCGGGCGTGGGGCGCGCGGGCGAGGGGCGCGAGGGGCGCGAGGGGCGCGTGGGGCGCACGGCGCGCGGGGCGCTGAGCGCGGCCTGTCCCGCAGGTCTGGATGCTCGTGGCCGCCTTCCTGCTGCCGCTGCCGCCCAGCCGGACGGCGGGCGCGCCCAGGAGCGGCAGGCGGCCCGCGCGGCCGCGGGGCTGCGCCGACCGGCCCGAGGAGCTCCTGGAGCAGCTGTACGGGCGCCTGGCGGCCGGGGTGCTCAGCGCCTTCCACCACACGCTGCAGCTGGGGCCGCGCGAGCAGGCGCGCAACGCGAGCTGCCCGGCAGGGGGCAGGCCCGCCGACCGCCGCTTCCGGCCGCCCACCAACCTGCGCAGCGTGGCGCCCTGGGCCTACAGGTGAGAGCCGCGGGCACGGGGCGCGGCGGCGGGCACAGGTGGGGCGGCGCGGCGCGCGGGCGGCGATGGCGCGGGCGGAGCCAGGGCGAGGCGGCGGGCGACGGGGCGGGCCCGGGTGGGGCCGGGAGGCGGGTGGCCGCCCCGGGGGGCAGTTTGTGCCCACCTGCCGCCGGTCACCCCGGCCGAGGGGGGTCGGCCACCCCCGAGCGGCCCTCGCGTTGTTGCTGGTGGAGCGGGTGGCGCTCGAGCACCTGTGGAAGCAGGTACGCGGTGACATGGGCGTGGCGGGGACGAGCCACGTGATCCTTGACAGAGATGTTGATGCAATGTGGCTGTGGGGGCCTCGGGACCTGGTGGAGAGGTCTGCAGGCAACCCCGTGTGGTCACGAGGGGACTGGGGCGGAACGTGGCGTGACACACCGAGTCCCGGGGCGTGGGGAGCCAGATGGCGTTGGCAGTGCCCTCTGGAGAAAGGGCTGAGGTCATCTCGGGAAAGACGGCTGGGAGGGTTGGGGGTGTACGGCGAGGTGTGAGCGGGGGAGCCCACGGGTGCCGTGACTGCCCCCCGGGAGCCCTGAAGGGGCCACGGGCTCTGGGTGGGTGAGAGCCGGCTGCTGACTGCCAGGAGAAGATGAGCCAGGCGCCCACCCTCAGGCACCGCCCTCTCCCACGGATGGCTGTGTGGCCACTACAGCTGAGCGGGGGCTGCTGGGCCAGAGCGGGCCGTGTGCGCAGAGCCCTCATCCCACAGGTACCGGTCCGATACAGTTTGATCCAGGAAGCCACTTTATTTCAGGAAGGTGTGTCCCCTCCCAGTTCCCCATCCGTCCCACTTTATTTCAGGAAGGTGTGTCCCCTCCCAGTTCCCCATCCGTCCCACTTTATTTCAGGAAGGTGTGTCCCCTCCCAGTTCCCCATCCGTCCCCTCGCTGAAGGCTGGGGGTGCAAATGAGGGCCAGACAACATCACAGCCACAGAAGGCGGCTCGGGGAGGGCGAAGGATGGGAGAGCGGGATCCATCCAGGAAGGACACGTGGCAGGGCTGGTGGATGAGGAAGGGAGCGAGGGGAGCCACCAGGCCACGTATATCTTCCCAGTCCCTGCTGGAGTTGGATGCACACCAGGTTGGTGGGCCCGGTGTGGTCCGTGTGCAGGGCTTCAGTGCTGGGTGGTCCCAGGCACAGGAGCTGCAACTCTGGGCAGGTGAGCTGAGGCCATCCGCATCCCTGTTCGTGGTATTCAGCAGTGGCAATGCTGGGCAGGGAGGGGAGCCCTCACACTGGCTGGAGGACAGCCTGTCTTTGGGGGATGTCCCGGGCTGCTAATGCTGACGCTGCTTCTGCTGCCAAGAGACCACCTTTCTGTGCTGTTCCTCCCACCACCTCTTCCCACCTGGGAAGATTAGAAAAAGAGCGAGCGTGGAGAGCTGTGTAGGAACAGGCTTGGGGTCTGCTGGGGGAAGTGAGTTCAGGGTCCGAGGTGCCAGCAGCCAGGCTCCTCTGTATTCCTGGGTCCCACATCCCAGCAGCCAGGCTCCTCCGTATCCTCAGGTCCCATGTGCCCAGAGCTGGGCCGCTGTGCAGCCCCGGATCCCGCATCCTGGTGGCCGGGCATTTCTGTATCCCTGAGTCCCACATCTGTTTTTTTTTTTTTTCCAAAGTGTCTGCTTTCTTCGCATTATGCCCTCAACCCGTACAGTCTAGCCATGATATACAAAGTATGTATGCTGAATTGGATATTCTGCAGCCATCTAAAGGTGATCTGAGTGGACAGGAGGATGCTTGTGGGGTCTGTGTGAACACCACGTGTGTTTATGGAAGGCACCTGCAGCGTCTGTGGAATTTGGGATCCTCAGAGTGTTCTAGAACCAGTTCCCCATCCAAAGGACAATGGACTCTCCAAAGATAGGTGGGAAACAGGCTGTAAGCCATGAATACTGATGTCCCAGGAAGGGTCACTTTAGGTGGATGAAATGGATTTAAAAATAGACATTTGGTATTCAAGGTGGCGCTCTGTGTGTTTGTGGGAGGGATGGCTCCTTCAGGAGGGCCTGCTGGGACAGCTGGGTTGCCAGCTGGAAGATCCGATTAGACCTCACTCCTCTGAAATGGCTTCCAGATGATTCAAATGTTTAAAAAAGTAAAAAAATAAAACCGCAAGAATGAGGCAAAACACAAGCCATTATATTTATCATCTGGGAGTGGAGGAGGCCTGTGTGGCAATCACACACCTGAAGAGACACAAAAGCCAAGGTTGAGGAATGCGTTTACGTAATTGGCAGAGGAGCTGAGCCAAGGCCAAGGGCAGCGTGAGGCTGCGGCAGGCGGGCCTGTGGCAGAGGTACGCATGGCTCTCACAGCGGCCACCGCGCCTGCGGCTCGCCTCCCACGCTCCAGGACTGCAAGAAATACATTCCTCTTACGGTTCTTGACCAGGACAGTACGGGACTTACTGAGAAAGGATATTTGCAACCTGTGTCGCAAAGGGGCTTGTTTGCTCAGGGGCTCCCCCAGCACAGGCAGGAAGTGAGGTGTCAGGAAGTTGAGCACACCCCAGGGACCCCTCTGGTGTGGAAGCAGAGGACGGGCGCTGAACCCTTACTGGGGGTTGTGTCAGGCCTAAGTGAACTGACTGCGATACTCTGCTGAGAAACTTTTGGTTTTTTTGTTTGTTTTGTTTTGTTTTCCTTTTTTGGTGCCCACCAGCCTACTTTGGGAAGAACCTCAAGGAAAAGGCCTGCTCGTGCAGTCGACAAGTATGAACTAGCACAACTTGAAAGGGGGCAGTTGGGCATTTTTAAGTATCAACTTTTTTTAAGGTTTATTTATTTTTATTGGACAGGCAGATTTACAGAGAAAAAGAGAGACAAAAAATCTTCCATTCGCTGGTGCATTCCCCAAATGGCCAGAGCTGAACTCTGAGACCAGGAGCCAGAAGCCTCTTCCCTGTCTCCCATGTGGATGTGAGGACCCTAGGCTTTGGGCCATCCTCCGCTGCTTTCCCAGGCCATAAGCAGGGACGTGGATGGGAAGTGGAGCAGCCGGGACATGAACTGGCACCAATATGGGATGCAGAGAATTAGCCAGTTGAGCCCTCATGTCAGCCCCAAATATCAATATCTTCAGTTTGCACACCTTTAAAGTGGCTGTTCCACTGTCGTGTTTGTCCTGCAGCTACTTCTGCCCACGTGCTGAGTGACAGATGTGCAAGTCTGTCCATTGCTGTAACAATAAGGGATGGGAACCAGTCAGACAGCCGTCCCTAGGGAGCAAGCAACCGCATGATCCAGCTACAGAAGAAGGGGGCAGCTCTAAAGGGACCAGGAGGACCCATCGCCCACACAGCAGGGAGAAGGTGTGGGGTGGCATGCTGCCCCGTCTCGTGTGTGCACACGGAATGCTGCTGCTTTAGGGACCAGTGCATTGGAAAGTCAGGACATCAGTAGAATGAGGGACAAGTGTCGCATCCGCTGGTTCACTCCCCAGACCCAGGAGCCTGGCAGTCCATCCGGGCCATCCCCCACTGCTTTCCTACTGACGTGAGCAGGACCAGCCCTGTAAACGTTTGTACCCCCTCACACTTGGACCTAAGTGCAAGACAAAGTGCCTTTTCCGGGAGTGTCCTTCCTGCAAGGGCGAGGTAAGACAGGCAGGGTGGTCGGGGAGAGATGGTCCAGAGGGTATATATGTAACGGCAGTATCTTCTCAGTTACGGTGAGATTTTCTTCCCGTGTGCCAACAACCAGTTCTCCCAGGCAGGTGATTTGCATTTCTGGGTGGAGCTTGGGAACCCTTGTTGTCCATAGTTCTGGGGCCATTCCTTTACAGATCCAGGTGTGTAGATCCCCGTGCTGGAAGGTCACTGCGGACACCCTGAGGGCCCCAGTGAGAAGGGCCTGTTTGCCCTCCAGGACTGTGGGGCTGCGGAAGCACTGTGGGCATCTGGGTAGGGGTTTCAGAGCTCCGTGACCCCAGAACTGGTGGGGGGCTTCGGCTGTAGCTGAGCCACATCCCTGACCCAGTAGCTACTGACGGAGACGTGCCGGTGCCTCTGAACAACCGAGCTCACTAACTGCCCCTGCCGGCCTCTAAGGTGGGTCCCCTTGGGGCGATTGCTCTCCTGTGAGAAGCTGACACCTTCACCATTGCAAAGGAAACACGCTGAGCCGTGAAGGAAGGCCACCTACCTGTGGGCCAGCCGGACGCCACCCACAAACATCACGTAGCTCTTGACCGTGCAGCTAGCCACAGCTACCCGGCCGCCCGCTCTGCTGAAATCAGAATGGGCTTAGCTCCACCTGCCTGCAGGCTGGGATCGGCTCACCGGCCGTTGGGTGGGCTGCCCGGCTTAGGGGGGCTGCTGGGTAGCACGGAGGAGCCCGCCCCGTGGGGGTTGGTGGAGATGGCGGGGGCTCGGGAGTCATGCCCTGGCCCAGGACCCTGTTAGAAAAACTCCATTGGCCTCGCCGAGTGTAAAAATACTCGTCCTGTACTTTGTGGCAGAGTGTTTGTTGCTCTTGAGCTTTGAAAAACAAAAACGCCAAAAATGAAAGCTCTGTGATTGCTCAGTCAGTGTTGAATTGAGATGTCAAAGGAGGTTCTGCTGGGGTTTGCTAAGGCTGAGACACACATGGCTCATTCATGACAAAACGCCCAGACACCTACTGGTCCTTTAAATAGTTCCTGTTTATATTTTTCGAGTTTTGGTAGTAATGAAAAAGCAACCTTTCTCCCGGGGATGAATAATACAGAGTTAACTTAGTTTTAGGCGTTATTTGTTACTTTTTAAAGTGACTTCCTCCAGGAAACTTAAAGAGACCACACCTAAATTCACCATGAATAGCTCCAAGGACAGCAGGCCCCGGGCAGGAAATGGGGCAGGGAGTGGAGGAGGGCTGGGTCAGGGGGTGCCACCCCGGCATGCCGGAAGAGGGGTGCCAGCAGGGGACACCTGAGCGGAAGGGAATGGAGTGTTTTCCCGTGGAGGAACCCCAGTTAGAA